CTTAAGCTGGTTTTATAGTGCTAGCCCACTGAGATACCATACCGCAGTGAAGCATGAATACCCCACTCAGACACATTTTACTGACTCCGAGCCGACCAGTCCTTGTTGTACCCATTAATGCCGAGCGCCAGGCGGGGACCAACAAGTACCATATTTTAACGTCTTTTGGTAGGACGCGGTCGGAGATCGAATCTGCGACCTTCCGCTCTCCGGGCGGACGCTCTAACCACGACACCACGGAGGCGGTCGGTTTTATATCTCATCTTATAAATCACCTTCGAAAACCCATTATCTTTTCAGTTTTCGCCAGCATCAAACATAAAATTATGTATATTTTCTTTTGCCTGCAGATTATGCAATACTGAAAATGTGATTGAAAGAATGCTGAGTTTGTTCCATAACCACCTGAATCATAAAACATCCAAATCCACAAGATATTTGCTGTCACAGGTATTCATGAGCACAACGAAATAATGCGAAATAAAAGAGGTTAGCAAAAACGAATCGGTCCGTTTTTTCTTTGTTGAGTATATACCGCTAACACAATGACGGCAAGCCTATAAGCGCGGATACCGAAACTTAATGCAGAATGCACCCAACCCCAAAATATCAATAACTCGACTGAGCAGAAATTTATTTTCCGACAAATTTGCTCTGAAAATCTTCGTATGGATGACAAACTAAGAAAAACACAACGGTTCGCTGAACTAATTAGCACACCAAGTATCTTGATCAATTTAAACACGTGATCCCTTTGACATTCATTTATTTGGTTTTGCATGAAAGGAGGAATTTTCGGCACAGGGTATTATTTCCTTCCGAGCATGGCATATCAATTTGATTTTTGAAAACGAGTTCGTCGATGAGTACGCCAAATGAAGACGTCGCTGTAATGAAATATGTCACAATCATTACAGGGAGCGGAGCTTGTTCAAATTACATAGCTTGAATGGGTGTTGTGTGTTCTGATCAAAAATGGGAAATAACACGACGTGAAAAGCAGCATTTCCCTTTATTGATATTGATGTTTTTAAAACGTGCAATTTTAATCATGTACGTTAAATATAGGGATACTGAAATAATGAAGTGGAGTTTTTCAATAGTTGTAATTCGATGCTTTCTTATGCAAAGAACATTCTATTTTGACATTAAAACGCGAACTTTTTGAAGAATATTCATGCCAATAATGGTTGTCACCCCCTCCCCACCCAACCCCCACACACAGGGGTGACAACCATTATTGGCATGAGTATATTCACGATACCTCAAAGAGGTGTATGATCCCAATGTCTTGTGAAATATATTTAACGAAACGCGGATGGTTCTCTTAAAGGTTTAAATATTAAAAAATGAAATCCAATCAAACAAAGTAAACTTTAATGGAGTTCTACTCCCAGTGGACCGAAATCGCTGGAAAATAATTGTCTATCATAAAAATAACATTACTGCAAGATGCGATATTTCGGAACATACTATTACAGTCTTAATTATGGTTCGGAAGCTGTATCTGAATAATCTGTTGTACACACACATTCACAGATTGAACCCGGATTTTTACGAGTTCAGAAAAGACCTATTTCAGATATTACCAAAGATGGATTATATTCTGTAATGATTTCTATTAGAATCAGAAAATGAATTATCGATGTACAAATTAGAACAGTGTAAAGCCAATTTCTGGTGTCCCAAGCTTATATTGCTGGAATGTTGCAACAAGTGGCGTCAAACTATACTCACTCACCTACATCATTATGGTGGCTGATTAGGGTCATCGCTTTGCTTTCTCGCCTCCGAATTTTAAGTCGAGAAAGCGATGGCCCTAATCAGCCGCCATAAATCATTGGACTACCAGCATGTACGAAACATGTAACAATACTACACTTTGTACAGACTTAATACCTAATGCTGGCAATAGCTGGTGTACGTTTAATTATACGTACGTCTTTATAGTCTGACGCGCAATATCCAAGCTACAGTAAAACCTCGCTTATCTGGACACGGTGTTAATAGTCATATGTCTGGAAAAACGAATTTCCGGAGATCTTGATCTCGTCAGTTACATCTCTTACCCAAATTGTACGGACGCAACACTCCTGCATTTGACGACGTATTGACAAGAATATCAAGTCTGGTAGAATGAGTGAGTTTATATTTCGCTGCTGTTTACAATATTCCAGCAATCACGGCGGGGGACACCAGAAATTGGCTTCACACACTGTTCCGGTCTGTACATCGCAAATTCATTTTATGATACTAATAGATATCATTACAGAAAAAACACACATTGTACCCATGTGGGACTCGAACCAGGGCCTTTGGGGTGACAAGCGAATGCTTTAACCACTGGCCTACTCACCGCCCCAGTACGGTGTACATAAAACAGTGATGTGTTATTATGAACAACACCCAACGCCGAGGGGTCACGATGACACGCAGTTAACCAAGTCAATTACGAGCCAACCAATCACATGTAGTCGTCTCCCACGACCAGTATGGGTCTCCTGGGACCTGCTTCACCACGGAATCCCTTGCAATCCAACTGTCTGTAACTCGTCAATTTAATTACCAGGGTCTCTATACTTGTCGTAAGAGGCGACTCACGGAATCGAAGGTCAGGCTCGCTGACTTGGTTGACACATGTCATCGGTTCCCAATTATGAAGATCGATGCTCATGCTGTTGATCACTGGATTGTCTGGTCCAGATTCGATTATTTTCAGACCGCCGCCATATAGCTGGAATATTGCTGAGTGCGGCGTAAACCTAAACTCACTCACTCACCAGGGTCTCAGTTCCGGTCTACCCAGGTAATGGAGTAAAAGGGTTTAACGTGACGTTCAGAGTTTAGTGTAATTGCACAGCGATATGCGTGCACGTGTGTGCCGCTTGTACTAGTCCGCACTATTGTTGGTGTTGTCTAAGAATACTGAAATGGCACTACGCAATTTAGCAAGTAAATAGACACTGATCAGATCAGTTTTTGGTTTCTGCTAATATTCAGAACCAGGCAGGACAACAACAAGTACCATCTTTTAATGGTTTTCAGTGTGAGGTCAAAGTTCTAACCAAGGACATTCGGCACTCCAGACTCTCTACCCACTGCACCACACAGCGGAGGCTACCCTGGTTACAGTCCGCGAGGCCTAAAATTCACACCTAATAAATCCCACAAGGCCTAATTACAGTTTGCCCACATGACATAATTAATGAGGTAATTGGGGTGTGAAACAAGAGTGGGAGAGGTCACTGATCAGTGGACAGGGGTCACTCTGTTAGGGTTAGTTTAGTAATGAGACTTGTCTACTGTGAAAACATTAAGGTTGGACATCTCTGGTCAATAATGGACCAGTCCAGCAATAATCCACCGTAATCTCATAAAACCGGTGAGGCATGAAGTCCCACATAACCTAATGAACGGTACCTACCTAATTGAATAATTTTAGGCCTCGTGGGACGACACCGCTACCCTTGTGGCCCATGTCAATACCACCCTTTAGCCGAGGATCGACCCCCCAACCTTAAGCTCTACGGCAAGGCGTTCCTTCCTCTGTACCCAGGAGGTGATCCACAAATATGACGTAGTCCACGCAATGAGTGATTAAGTTTGGTTTTATTTTAGCAATATTCCAGCAATATCACGACGAGGGACATCATAAATGGGCTTCACGCATTGTACACATGTGGAAATCGAGCCCGGGTCTTTGGCGTCATAACTCGTCATATATATACGTTATACGTTAATACGGGGCGGTGGGGTAGCCTAATGGTTAAAGCGTTGGCTTGTCACGCCGAAGACCCGGGTTCGAATCCCCACATGGGTACAATGTGTGAAGCCCATTTCTGGTGTCCCCCGTCGTGATGTTGCTGGAATATTGCTAAAAGCGGCGTAAAACCAAACTCAGTCAGTCAGTATACGCTAATACAGTAAACTCGTTAATGACTGATCCCCTTCACGCACACGACCTCTCACGTTCTGTAAGAATACGTCACGTGGCATTCAAAACTGACCTTCACCTTCACCTTTGAACTTTCGACACATAAAATGTCACAGCGATTGGAGAAATAATCACTATCCGTTTCAATTTTATAGTCTAGACAACTAATACATGTTTGTTTTGTCAAATTGGATTTCGACAGCCTCCAGACTGTTTTTATTCAACAGTTAGGGAAACTGGAAGATTCAAATCAACGAAGCACTACGTCTGAAATTGGAGACCAGTGACGTTACGTAGTGAGCGGGATGTGTCCATTATAAAAACAATTAAATATACTGCTGTCAATCGTAATAAATATAAATGTAATTCTTGCACAAGACACTAACTGGTATTTAGAGATGTGATTTCATGACTAGTTCCGTTAGAATGCGGTAAAACATCAAAGGATTCTGTGTTTCATGTATTTAAAAAGTATCGGTCAATATTACTGTGATCATGTGTCTGGTTGGACAATTTCTATCACGGATTACATTAACATAGTTCCGTCGCCTCTATCAATACTAATGATACCCTAACGTTACAGAATTGGGAAAGAATGTTTTGGAGTTTTTTCAATAAAACAAACTAATGGAAAAGCGATTTCTGCTTAGACGGGCGCCCAGTTCGTTACAGTGCGAATCATTCAAAGGACGATCGCTCGTGGGTGGGTGAGTGAGTGAGTGAGTGAGTGAGTGGGTGGGTGAGTGGGTGTGTGGGTGGGTGAGTGGGTGGTGGATGAGTGGATGAGTGGGTGGATGGTGAGTGGGTGGGTGGGTGAGCGGGTGAGTGGATGAGTGGATGAGTGGGTGGGTGGTGGGTGGGTGAGTGAGTGAGTGATGGCTCTCATCGCCTTTATTCTTTAAAGCGACGTTTAAGTACATATGAACGGACTGGGATCTTTACCAGACAAGGGCATAAAAAAAACATATAAAATTTCCATTAAAACGACACCTGCAATACATTTAAAATGACTACATTATCAAGACAGAAAAACAAAATAAAAAAACCCACAAAAACATATACTCACATCCCAGAAGCATAGCGAATATTGAAAATATCTTCTCAGCATTCGTATTTGGCGCCACATTTCCGAAGCCAATACTAGTCAAGCTGGTGAAGGTGAAGTACAGCGACGTGATGTATTTTGAGCGTATCGTCGGCCCGCTCAGGGAATCGTTCGGGTAGTACGGCCTTTTCATTGTGTCTGCAAGACCGTCCAACCAACTCACGTGGGCTTGCAGGTGGGGCCGCTCCATGTTGGCGATAGCGTAGAAGATACACGCCAGCCAATGAGCGATAAGGGTGAATGTTACCATCAGCAGTAACAGAACAGCAGCTCCATACTCGGCAAACTGCTCGATTCGTCGTACGACACGAAGAAGTCGTAACAACCGGGCCGTTTTCAGAATGCCAGTTGCTTTCATAGTCTGAAAAAAATACAAATAATTTTTACTCAACAATTAATTTAAGAATATTGAATAATAACATGTTACATGTTTGTATATATAATGCGTACATGTGGGTTATATTTACGTATAATGCCGCCATTTAGCTGAAATATTGCTGAGTGCGGCGTAAAACTAAAGTCACTCACATATACTGAACAACATTAGAAACGCACCACACTAAAATGCACCGACAATGCTCAGACATCATGGGTACATTTCAGTCTGACGGGGATATTTCCTATTATATGGGTGTTGCGTTTCTAATGTTATTCAGTATATAATTCCCTTCAGAAAGTGACCAAATATACCATATGTTTGTAACTACACCCCAGGAACATTTTTTATGGCGCGGGGATGGGGTGGTCGTGTGTGTATGTGTGTTGTGGGGGGATTTGGGGTGGAGTCCTTTCTGGGATTCGAACCCAGACTCTCAAAATGAGCTTTCCCGAATCGCCAGCACACAACGTAAGCGATCTCAACTTCGCCATCGAGGCATAAATATAATGGCATGTTTCAGGGTTGAAACTCTAGATCGCGTACTTTGTGTACCCGTCTAACACCTGTAAATTGGCATGGCTCTAACGTTCGTCTTGGTGCATAACCAGTCGTACAGATGAAGCATGTTTATTGAGGCCAGACAGAACCTATTCGCAAATCGATGTAAGGCTAAGGCTGCCGTGGCTCCATGCTTAAATATAACAGATACGATCGTCATAGCGCTAAGATCGTTTCGTGGAACGGAGTTATATTGCAATATTTCAATTTAAATATCATATCTGTCATCGTTTTTGCTGGAATGGTGTTAATCGGCTTCAAACCATACTGGATCACTTATTGAAAATGCCCAATTAACAAATTACTTCTTGTGATGTACCAGGTAATAGTTACGCTTCATGCATTGGTAAATACGTCATCTATCTGGGCAAATACAAGCATAGATATTCCCTATGGAACAGATTAGTATTGTCCCATGAAATACGACACAAATGCAAGGCATTTCATCTTGGCAAACATCACAATCTGTCAGTTCAGTCTAACGGCTTGTAGGAACGGCAATAATCTCGACACTCTCCCGAAGAGCTTCTGTCAATTTGTCCGTGTGAAGTCGACTCGAAGTCAATGTAGCAGTCAGCCCACTTTTGTGGGGAAGTGCAGAAATAGATTATATCTTAATGACTGTTTTCGAAGTGCAATTTAACCTATTACGTACTGGTATTTTATTACTTTTATTTTATTTTAATTTTCGATTATTCAGATAATTTTTATTTAATCATGTTTATTTCATTTTTCATTTTTATTAAGGTCACGTAGTGTATTTGTTTTGTGTCGTTTTTTTCGTTTGTTTGTTTGCTTTTGTTTTGTTGTTGGGTTTTTTGGTTTTTGGGGGTGGGTATTATTGTTGTTTCATAAAAAGCTTTCATCCACATTTGAAAACATGTTTCTGTGTTGCCTGTTGCTGCAGTATTATTGCTCTTTCTGGTGGATAAAGTATATAAGATATTAAGCAGCACACAAGTCTGTTATTTTCTATAGCTGAAAAAGATGTATTAAGTGAATACCTAAAACATTCCTCTGCTGTTATATATATACCTTATCTGGGATCATATTAAACAGCATTTACCAGAACGGTGTTTTACGGGAATGTAGGTCAGCTAGGATAATCACCCCTTTGCATAAGGAAGGATGCGCCTCACCTGGTAATTATAGGGCTACAAGCCTCTTGAGTATCATAGTAAGGTCTTTACGTCAGGTTGAATAAAAGATAAATATACTGGGCTGCGGCTCTTGACAACATATTTGAATGTCAGTGGGTTTTAGAAAAGGATATTCGACTATTGATAATTGTTTTATTTTAAATGTCATCGTTCAAAGCCATGTTTTGTGTCATTTATCCATTTTTCTAAAGCCTTCGGTTCCGTTCAGCGCCATTTTTTCTCAAAGCTCTTCTAAAATTAGTAATCTATTACTCCATATACAGTAACGTAACGGTTTCAACAACAGAGTACCTAGAACGTGTGATTGTCTCACAGGGGGTAAGGCATGGGTGAGTGCTTAGTCCTTTTCTGTTTCAGATTTTTATAAACGAAAGTAATAATGAGCAAAACTGCCGTTTTGGCTTTCAGTTACATCATGATGTTACACATAGTTTTTCTCGTTCTGTTTGTTGGTGCAGAGTTTTGTTTTACAACTTACAGAAGAAGTTAGATAAACTACACCATTACTGTTACAAATGGCAATTTATGTTAATTCATCGAAAACTATCATTTCTGTCCATTCATTTGAACCCTTTGCTTGTAGTTCAGAGATGGTGTGGGATTGTGTTTAGTATGATTTGTAAAAACAAATGTTTCGCAACATGCGCCTTTGACCCTCAGCTTTTGAGATATTGTGAAGCATTTCGTATGCTAGGATATGATCGCCTGTTTGGACCAAAATATTAGAAACTGCTCTTGGATTCCTGTGGTGACAAATTAAATATTCGCAGGCATTTGATAAACAATGTGCACAACAAATACGCCGTCATGTACGTGTCTTCATGTCTAACATGCTGAGGAAACCCAATTCCAACAAATTGTGATTTGTCAATGCTAACTCGACGGTTACACAGAAAACAGTTATCAGGAACACAGCGACGTCGGTAATTTACCGTTATTATCAGCAGCAATAACAGGGTCGCCAGTCTTCATCAGTGTAGTGAAGTGGAACACGTCAGCCAGATTATCATGTCCTGATACACGGTATTGATACCAGGACACTTCCTTGATAACCTACAATCTTCATAGTCATTAACATACAAAGCAGCTAACAGGATCAAACGTTATTTCCTTCCTTGTCCATTTCATATTTTTCTGACCCGTGAAGGTACGGGTTGGAATATTGATCTTCAGTAACCCATGCTTGTCCTACGAGGCGACTAACGGGATCGGGTGGTCAGGCTCGCTGACTTGGTTGACACATGTCATCGGTTCCCATTTGTGCAGATCGATGCGCAAGCTGTTGATCACTGGATTGTCTGGTCCAGACTCGATTATTTACAGACCGCCGCCATATAGCTGGAATATTGCTGAGTGCGGCGTAAACCTAAACTCACTCACTCCTATATTTCTCAAACTGTTTGCTTCATTTGTATAAGATTGCACACTTGAATAGCCCTGTAGTTATTACTGGAGCATGCAACTTTGTGGGTGACAACTCGTTTGTTGCACTGAGCGACGTTTAGGTGTAGATTCTTTTAGCTTGATAGCGGTGTAACTATATACACGAAAACGTCGCTCTATGCATTGAACAGGAAGTTGTCACCCATAAAGTTGTGTGCTTCAATATTTCACCATCTCCTAGAATGCCGATTAAACAATTACCATTTGTGTGCTGTAGTGGTGATCCGATTAATTGAAATAATCGAAGATTGGTCGCAGTGACTAAACGACCAAGCAATCTATCATGTTTTCTCATAATCGAACACAAACAATTCTGGAACACTTGTTTTCATTAACAATATTGCTCACAAGGTTGGGTTTGTCTGTTACATTTCATAAGCACTACAAGCGTTCCAAGTCATGATTGAATTTATCTTAAAGACATCAAGAAATTTATGTTACTAACATACTAGTCATCCTTTAAAGATGTGATATTTTGAAAAAAACAAAACAAAATAACTACATTTTTTTGTCCTTATTTTTATGTGCATTAACAAATTTCATAAATGATGCTAACCAATTATTTTCGATGATTGATCGGTGGTAATGAACCAATCATCAATTATGAGATTTTAACCAATTCCCAACACTAGTGTGCTGGCGATAGGTGCCTGACCCTGAGGTTGTGGGTTCGAATCCCAGATGGGACTCAACCCAACAAAAGCACTAGAATCTTTACTTTGCTAAGAAAGTGTAATCCCAAATATAACATGTGTTAAATTAGCCTTGAAGTTTGAGTTTCAGAAACAGCAGTCTATATAGTTTCCAAACGGAATAGCTGCAAATTTACTACGTTCAATTGTGTGTTGTTTTATGCCGTAACAACGCGTTATAATTGAAAACTAGCATTGTTTCAGATGTGAATAAATCAATGCGAACTTTGTGGGATTAAAATGCATGACACGCATACACCATAACGTTTAAAATGAACAGGAAAATGTGCTTGCACATTTACACGCTTTTGAAACAAACAAATCTCCTCGGTTTCTTTGAGAGGTGAGGTGAAATTGGGTTTTACGTCGTGCTTGAGAATATTTCGCTCATATGACGACGTGCATGCGTGTGTATGTGTAGGTGCGGCTGCTTGTACTAGCCCAGACTGAAGCTGGTTTTATAGTGCTAGCCCACTGAGATACCATGCCGCAGTTAAGCATGAATACCCCACTCAGACACATTATACTGACTCCGAGCCGACCAGTCCTTGTTGTACCCATTAATGCCGAGCGCCAGGCAGGGACCAACAAGTACCATATTTTAACGTCTTTTGGTATGACGCGGTCGGGGATCTAACCCGCGACCTTCGCTCTCCGGGCGGACGCTCTAACCACTACACCACGGAGGCGGTCTTTTTTGAGAGGCATTTTAGAAGTTGTGAAGATGAAGGAAAACCAAGTTCTATGGATAGTCAACTTCTTTATTGCAATGAGTGCGACGTTTCGGTGTAGGTACTAACACCGTTATCAAGCAAGTGATGATTAAAATGCATGACTATATATCCATAGAACTTAGTTTCCCTAAATCTCCCCGGTGTTTCCAGATCGTACTTAGCAGGTACTGTGTTACATTTCAGTAGCATATGTACATCGTATTCCACGTATAATTACCAGCAAAATAAATACACATCAGTTCCTCCTGTGTCACGCGATGGTTCTCAATATGAGACCCACGAAATGTCACGCTTTCACAAAAGACCCCATTTATGTCGTCTCTTTGATTAGGTAAAATGACACTCGTCAACTACGACCGCCTCTGTTTTCGCGAATCATGTACAGAGGACCCGGT